CTCAACTTACCCAGCACATACTGTTTGTGAATGAGAAGACTGATGTCAGGGTTCACTTTTCCTTTCTTCTTACTCCATACTTTAGTTAAACACATGACATATGTCCCAGAACCCTCCAGGGCTTGTATTTGACTTTACTTCCAGTTTATACTACTTCTCAGGTCTGTTAGATTCAAACATTTACAAAAACCTTCTCTTGTCTCGTTTTTAAGTTCATGTCTGTGCCTTTGCTGGTGTTTTTCTTTTTTAATGCAATCTCTCATTGCCCTTTAACCCACTCTCCATCTGTCTGTTGTCTCCCCCTCCTCTCCTCCTTTTTCTATTCTATTAGATTTAATTGTACCATGATTTCCTCCCAAATTTTCTAATTTAATCTGATGTTGACTTTGACTCAGTATTATTTTCCTTGACCCCTTACTGTAACACTTACCATCTGTCCCAAGAATTTAAATGATTCTATTTTCTTTGTTTTGTTCCATCTTGTGATCTCTCTTCCTCTCCCTTCCTGCCCCTCCCTTCCCTTCCCCGCCTCCTTCTGCTGCTTTCCATCTTCTCTTTCTGTCTGTGTCTTTCTGAATCTCTCTCCTACTTTCTCTGATTATTTTTCTTTCTGTATCTCTTCTTTTTCTCCTCTCTGCCTGTTTTTCTCATTATTTATTTCTCTCTCCAAATGTTATGGGGAAACTGTGGCAGAGAAGGTATTATTACCTTGTTTTTTTTTTTTTTTTTTTTTTTTTTTTTTTTTGTCTCACATGGAAAAATTCCAAGTGGACAAGCAGAGAGAGTTAAAAGTGAGATTTACTAGTCAGAGACCTCCAGCCAGGGTGGCAAGGAGTAGGGCTTTCAAGGGATAAAAACCAAAAACCCCACAACTGGAAGGGCCCACGTCACTGGGGTTTTTAAGCACAATGTTAAAAAAAAAAAAAAAAAAAAAAAAAAAAAAAAAAAAAAAACACCTGACATTCAGTTATAAGGCAGGGACAAAAATCCATCAGAAGACCTGATTTTCAATCCTTTATCCTGTCTGACTTGCTCATGATAAAACAAAAAAGCCATCCAGAAGGGTGGGATAGGTACATTGTTTTCACAGTAAACTGTGGGCTAAAAGCACGGAATCACCACTTCCTTGTTATCCTCATGGTACAACTGGGAGATCCCTGAGGAAGTGCATCACAGTTTCCACTGACTGCCTCTTAACCCATCTGGCTCCTCACAGTGCCCCCTCTGAAGAATGGAACCTAACTGCTGTTACGGGAGCCGGATGATGACCACTCTGGCTGCTTCCAGCCTAAAAGGGGCATCGTTGGGAATGGCAGTCAAGACAGGATCCCATCAGGAGATGGCTTCCCAGCAGGAGGTGCCAGCTTGCATAAACTGCTTCTCTCTCAGGCTCCATGTGCACGGGAATCTAGAATTACACCATTTCAAGTCTAGAGAAAATGAATCTAACAAGCAGTTTAAACTCACAGTGTCTGAAACAAAGGACAGTCATTATCAGAGGACCTAAGAAAGGTGCTGTGTAAACAACGAGCAAGTTTTCCCATTGAGAGGAAAACAGAAACTGACAGAGGGGCTTGATAAGAATCAGATGAGTTTTACAGCCCTTCCGGTTATGAGGCCCAGACCTACCTCTTCACTTAGGGTACATCCTAAGGGAGGTGTGAACCTCCTTAGGGAAGGCACTCTGTTGACTTCCGTTACCTAGCTGGCCTGGGAGGAGAGCTGGCATGAAGAGAAGGTAGGTGGCATCTCTTAAAAGAAAAACATTTTAGTTAATTTACAGTTCTGTCTGCAATGTTGCTGACCCTACTTGGCCATCCCCTCCATAGCGGTGGTTGCTTTGAAAGCTGGGCAGACTGAAGAGCTTCGAAGATTAGAGCCAACCAGGGCTGTGGCTCTAACCTGGGAGTCCTTCGACTCCAGGGCAGCTCTGTTTCCAGGGACCCAACTCTTGGCTGGCAGAACTGCTTATTTTCACTTATATCTTTTTTCTTGTGCTTTCTCTCTAGATCTCTAGATCTCTCTCCCGTATATATACATTTTACTTTGTATATGTGTATATATAAACATGATATAATTTTCATATCCTTTCATTTTTTTCCAAGAGAGACATGGGATAAGTTCCAGATATGGAAAGTACAATAGGAAAGTAAACATCCACAAATTCATTCTTTATGTCTCATATGAAGGGTGTGAGACAATGTACCCTACTAAATAGTGTATATTCCTCACAGTTTCTCCCTGCTTAAGGGAAAAGTGTTTCCTTTGCTTCTCAGATGTCACAGTCTGTAGATGTTTTCTCTATCTGGACTTTGTGCTTCACAATGACAGACTCATGAGTAAGATTCAGGTATTCTGAGATGACCTCAAGTTTCAGCTCATCTTAAAATGAGACATATATCATTTTGTAACTTTTGGTAAACCAAAGACTCTTCTATTCTTTCAAATCATATTGTGAAGAGTCAGACAGGTTGATAGGCAATCAAGTTGGCCCTGGTAGAAATGCTTGCTTCCCCAAAAGTTACCTATAGCAAGGTCCAAAGTGCCTGCCCTACTCCTTAGAAATTTTCAGTCTTATTATGAGAATAGCAAGGTAGTGGTGATTCCATCCTTCTGAGCTCCCAGTTTATTATAAAATAAATTAGGTATCCCACCCTTCTGATGACTCTTGTTTTATCATGAGCAAGCCATACAGGGTAAAAAGACTACAAGTCAGGTCTTTTGATAGGTTTGTCCCAGCCTTGAACTGATTAACGATTTATCCACCAAGATTCTGCTTAAAAACCCAACTGCTACCAGCCTTTTGGGTCTTCCTCTCTTGGAATACCCCTCCCAGCCTCATTGGCAGGTTGTTTCCAACTTGTACAACTTTTCTCTCATTGCCTTGTTTGTGTGATAATTCTTTCTTTTGCATGAGACAAAGAACTAAGGTCTTCTCTGCTGCCTCCTCTTCACTTGTAACAATATACAGAGTTATGGTAGGTAAGTTGACTTGAACTATGGGAGGAGTTAGATTAAAAACACAAATGAAAGTAAAATATTTTACAAACCTAAACCACTGAATTCATTTTTCTGGTCTATCTCCTCTTCTATTGTAACAAAATTAATTTCAAAAAAACTTTATGAAAAAGAAGGAGTATAAAGAGGATGAATAATTGAAGCGAATCCTGGAGAAAGCAGGTTGGAGGAAAGTACAGTTGTCACTGGTTTTTCTAGTGGAACTTTAAAACTTAAATTAGCTAAGAAGCAGAAACTAATACAGTATATCAAGATAGAGGTTGGATTATTATCACCCATCTTCTCTTTGCTTTCCATGTGGACACTCCACAATAGTAATAATTAGCTTTTCTCCAAGTCTAATATGCTTGGATGACATCATTATCATAATTATATCTGAAGAACAGTTCAGAAATGAGGAAGAGTTTCTCAGATACCAAATTGATATAGTTTTAAAATGGTTTGTCCCCTCCAAAACACAGATTGGAACTTAATCTTCACTATGAGATATTAATAGATGGAACCAAGTGAGACCATAAGAGATATTTAGAGTTCTGCCCTTATGAAAGGATTAATTCATTCATGTAAATAATAGAATAATGGAGATATCATTGGTCAGTTGTCAGATGCTATATCAAAATGCCCCAAATTGTGAAGAAAAGAGGATAATTTGTTTGGGGAATTGGAAGTCCAAGTTGTTGGCCTCTGGTGAGGCCCCCTTATCTATACCAGACCATGACAGATGGCATGGTGGAAGTACTTGCAAGATAATTGAGAGATCACATGGCAATATAGGAAGCCAGAGATCTGCTCAGTGACAAGGCTTGTGCTTCTGTAACAACTCATTCTTACAGGAACTCACCAGGATCCCATGGGAGCTACCTGAAACTCACGTGAGAGCATCATGCCCAGTGTCATCCCACTACAGGTAAAACTCCTTTAAGGGTCCACCACTTCAACACCATCACACTGAAGATCAAATCTACAATCTAACACAGGAACTACCAGTGGACAAACCATATCCAAACCAAAATATGGCATTAATGGCATCTCAGGGGTAGATCTGCTATTTGCTGATTCTTTACAGCCCTTGTCTCAACTATTGAGAAACAGTGTTTTTTTCTTCATACTATTTGTTGAACTCTTTATCTATTGTAGCATTATTCTTATGAGTATAAAGTAAACTGAAAATAGATCTTTGTAAAAATTAAGAGTGGGAATAAGAGAAAGAGGAGGAAGTTGGGTAGGAGCACATGAGGGAGGGAGGGTAGGGTGGCAAGTATCACTATGATCCTGAATCTATTTATAGGAAATATAATAAATTTGTAAATTTTAAATAATTTTTTAAAAGGTCAATCTGGTTAGATCTTTGTGCACACCCCGATTCTTGACCATATGTTTCCCTATACCTCATGACTCTGCTGCAAAGAAGGCCATAGCCAGATGTGGCTCTCAGAACTGTGCATCAATGAAACCTCTTGATTAATTACCCAGTATGTTGTATTGTGTTACTAGTAACAGAAAATGGACAGATATATATTTTCTTTTCAATGGCTTTGATAATAATGTTAAGGTTAATGGGGAAAAGGATGAGTTCTGCATCTCCAAAGCTGGAATTTTTCTGGCAATTCATTTAAGAGACCTTTCAGTACAGAAGGAGGCTGACGAGGCTAAAGAGCAAGATCGGATTCAGCCCTTCAAATCCCCTAAATGAAATGATAAGTAAATGATTCTGTGGACAATTTGTAAATGGTAGCAGGTTTTCACACCCCAGATAAGTAAAGATCAGGCTTCTAACACAATTCAAAAACATTTCGTGACATACAGATCATGTCATCTGTCATTTATTAAAAAATGACAGTTTTACGGGCATACACAATAATTTTTTCACTCATCATTCAATATTTTAATATCCCCCATTTGCAAATGAATAAGTTGGGTTTCAGACAGGTTAACTGATTTGCCCAGTGTCACACAGTCAATAACTGTCAGCCTGCCTCCAATCTTTTTTCTCATAATACCATACTTTTCGACTTCCAGGAAGTGAATAGAGGAAGGAAGGTTAAAATATAAATTCATACCAGATTATTTTGTGGTTTTTGTTCTTTTTAATCAGTCCTTTTTCTAATATTTCCCATAGACAATTCATTAGTAGAGCATGAGAATCAGTTGATCAATTATAAATGAGTAACAAATCTCTACTGAGGTCACTCATTCTGAAGGAGATGGACTGCACTTTCTTCAAGGCTACTTCAAGCTGGATGTTTCAAGTGAATTTTGGGAGTGATGTGTTCAACGTGTCTCATGGAGAGAAAAATGTTCATTTCTTATGTCATCTTCATCCTAACAGGACATCTGCTGGATTACAGTAAAATTGTCAGTGAATAATTAAAAGCTGATTTCCATAACATGATTTGCCATCTTTTATTGGTTCTTGAATCACCCTCTAATGAGCTACTCTTTAGGGGAAACTTGTCTGGCTTTAATTCATTTGAAGCCACTCATGATGGCCAAGCAGTTGTCCTCAGTGTCTGGAAAAGAAGATACAGGTGCAGGACTTAAAATATTTTGGGGGTTATGGAGACAGGGGAGCAGACCCTCTGGAGCTTATTGAACTAAGAACATGGGAGTCAGTTAGAAAAGCCCAAAGATATAAGGTTGATAGAATAACTTGTATATGCTAAAAGGCATATTTGATAGAGCTTTGTGGTTTTTAAACCACAGATATTCCACAGAACTACAAAGAGAAGAGGGACTTGTGTTCCCATTCATCAGTCACTGTCAGTTCTGCCAATGATAGAAGAGGCCTCAAGTCCATTTTGTTTGGTAATTTCTCCAGTTGCTTTGGCCCCCAGAATCCATTTTATTTTTATTTTTAAACAAAATCACATTCAGAATGCAGCTAATTAAGATAGGTATGATTGAAACTTCTTTAGTTAAGAAGTATATATTGCTTTTCTGAAAAACAGCTTGTATTTATCAAAAATTGAAATGTTCTTATTCTTTGACAAAGCAATTATTTTTATAGTATTTTAGTCTTCAAAAAAGCTCACGTTGTGCAAAATGCCATGCAATCTTACGTCACTTATAATATTGAGAAGGGAAATCAACGTATCAATAGAAAAAAATCTAGGCCGGCGCCACGGCTCACCAGGCTAATCCTCCGCCTTGCAGCACCGGCACACTGGGTTCTAGTCCCGGTCGGGGTGCCGAATTCTGTCCCGGTTGCCCCTCTTCCAGGCCAGCTCTCTGCTGTGGCCAGGGAGTGCAATGGAGGATGGCCAAGTGCTTGGGCCCTGCACCGGCATGGGAGACCAGGAGAAGCACCTGGCTCTTGCCATCGGATCAGCACGATGTGCTGGCCACAGCGCGCCAGCCACGGCAGCCATTGGAGGGTGAACCAATGGCAAAGCAAAGGAATACCTTTCTCTCTGTCTCTTTCCCTCACTGTCCACTCTGCCTGTCAAAAAAAAAGAAAGAAAAAGAAAAAAAGTCTAAATAATTTCTAAGCAGTTTTACAAGTGATGAGTAAAATTTATTTGAGCTAACTTAGGGAAGATATCTCATATCCGCTGTTATTAAATAAATTTCAAAATATAGGTAATACCTAATATGAAGTGTTTAGGACTCAAAAACAAATTAAATATCATTACATATGGAGTATAATATAAGTTTAAAGCAATTTATATACTAAAACATAGCATTTTCACATTTACAGATTGTTTAAATAATTCCTAATTTGTTTTAATTAAATTTACACATGTGTAATGTTTTGAGTATTGCTTTAATGATTTCAAAACTTGATTTTTCACTTCAGGACTAAATTTGTTTCCTCATGAATTCATTGCTGTTCTATTTTGTAGTTTATTATTATATTGTGGTTTCTATTGTCTCTATTAATTTAATTATAGTCACTTTATAGTAATTCCCAGATTTTTCTGTTATCCCTCAAGTTCTTGAGATACCTATTCTTTCATTTCTTATTTTCTTACTTTCTGCAAAGGAGGTGGATTTGTAATTTTCTTTTGAATTTTAGCTATTCTTCACCAAATACTTTTGTTTTCTATAGAAGCCCAAATACTTTAGTTGTAGAAACAGCTTATAAATTGGTTTTCTTTTTTTTTTTTTTTTTTTTTTTTTTTTTTTGACAGACTTAGTGGACAGTGAGAGAGAGAGACAGAGAGAAAGGTCTTCCTTTGCCATTGGTTCACCCTCCAATGGCCGCCACAGCCAGCGCGCTGGAGCCAGCGCACCACGCTGATCTGATGGCAGGAGCCAGGTGCTTATCCTGGTCTCCCATGGGGTGCAGGGCCCAAGCACTTGGGCCATCCTCCACTGCACTCCTGGGCCATAGCAGAGAGCTGGCCTGGAAGAGGGGCAACCGGGACAGAATTCGGCACCCCGACCAGGACTAGAACCCGGTGTGCCGGTGCTGGTAGGTGGAGGATTAGCCTGTTGAGCCACGGTGCCGGCTTAAATTGGTTTTCATTTTAGTATTTTAGGATGTGAGTACTAACTGATCCATGTGCCTTTTTTTTTTTTTTTTTTTTTTTTACTTTCATTTTATTTGTCAAGCAGAGACAGAGAGAGTGACAGGAACCAACAGAGAGAAAACAATCTTCCAATCATTTGTTTACTTACTCCTCAAATGGCTGCAATAGCCAAGGCTGGCCCAGCCAAAGACAGGATCCTGGAACTCAGAGACTCCTACTTGGGTGGCAGGGGCTCAAGCACTTGAGTCAACTCTGCTGCCTTCCAGGGTATGCATTAGCAAGAAGCTGGAATCAGAAGTGCAGCAGGGATTTAAATCCAGGCACTGGCGTTTTAACTATTGTGCCAAACTCTCATCCCATATTTGCTTTTTTCTTAATGTTAATTTCTAATCTTCAGACTCCGGTACAGTGTGAAGGATAGGAAATCTGACTCCACTCCCACTTATGATACAGATCTGAATATTTGAGTAACTGCAGAAATTTTCCTCTGTACATTAGAGCCCAAGAAAAAGTCTTCCTGATTTTTTAGGTTTATTTATTTGAAAGGCAGAGAGAGAAAGAGAGAGAGGGAATTTTCTATCTGATAGTTCACTTCCCAAATGCCCACAGTATTTGGGTTGGGCCAGGCTGAAACCAGGAGCCAGAAACTCCATCTAGGTCTCCCATGTGGGTGGCAGGGACCCAAGAATCTGAGCAGTCATCTGCTGCCTCCCAGGTGTACATGAGTGGGAGGCAGGATTGAATCTGGGTGTGGAAATCGATTCCCAGCACTCCCCTATGGGATGCAGTCAAGCATCCCAAGTATCAGCTAAACCCACTGCACCACAAAGCTTGCTTCTATCTTCCTGATTTCTTAGACTATGCTATTCTTCCTAATCCACTTTCAACAATAAAGATACATGCATGGGCTTCATGACTGTGTAATGTCTCAATCCCAGCTACTCATCCTTCTTTGTACATTAACAAAATTGATATCCCCTCATTTTCCTCATGGATAGTAAGCCTGCTTTCCAGTTATTAGAACTTGTGTCTGTATATTCAGTACCACCCAAGGTAAAATGGCCTTGGTTGTTTACTGAGTTAGTTTTTTTTTTTTTATATGCCATCTAAAAGTTTATTTTTTTCTCAAATTCTGTTAAACATTTTATTATGATTTTTTCCTAGGATCTGTTCCAGCATAGTCCATCTTGTTGCCAAAAGTTCTCTATTATTTCTGCTGTTGGGGAATAGTTTAAAAATTACAAGTGGAAATTAACAAATCACTAATCTCCTGGTCCCCTAAAGTCCCTCCTTGGGATCCTAATGTTCCAAGTAATAATTATAATAATAGCTAATAATTTCATGATTTACCAAGTACTGCAAATTTTCTAATTTTGTATATTAATCTATTTAATCTTCATAACACTTTTTGTTAGATAACACTAATATGATCCTCATTCTATTGATGAAGAAACTATGTCAAAGCCCACACAATGTATAAGAAGTAGAGTCAGTATTTGAAAGCCAGAGCAGCAAAGCAATCTACAACAAAAACAAAGCCGGGGGCATCACAATACTAGATCTCAGGACATACTACAGGGCAGTTATAATCAAAACAGCATGGTACTGGTATAGAAACAGATGGATAGACCAATGGAACATAATAGGAGCACTAGAAATCAACCCAAACATCTATAGCCAACTTATATTTGATCAAGGATCTAAAACCAATTCCTGGAGCAAGGACAGTCTATTCAATAAATGGTGCTGGGAAAACTGGATTTCCATGTGCAGGAGCATGAAGCAAGACCCCTACCTTTCACCTTTCACAAAAATCCACTCAACAGGGATTAAAGATCTAAATCTACGACCCGACACCATCAAGTTATTAGAGAACATTGGAGAAACCCTGCAAGATATTGGCACCGGCAATCTTCTTGGAAAAGACCCTGGAGGCACAGGCAGTCAAAGCCAAAATTAACATTTGGGATTGCATCAAATTGAGAAGTTTCTGTACTGCAAAAGAAACAGTCAAGAAAGTGAAGAGGCAACCAACAGAATGGGAAAAAAAAAATTGCAAACTATGCAACAGACAAAGGATTAATAACCAGAATCTACAAAGAGATCAAAAAACTCTACAACAACAAAAGAAACAACCACTTAAGAGATGGACCAAGGAACTTAATAGACATTTTTCAAAAGAGGAAATCCAAATGGCCAACAGGCACATGAAAAAATGTTCAAGGTCACTAGTAATCAGGGAAATGCAAATCAAAACCACAATGAGGTTTCACCTCACCCCGGTTAGAATGGCTCACACACAGAATTCTACCAACAACCTATGCTGACGAGGATGTGGGGAAAAGGGACGCTAACCCACTGTTGGTGGGAATTCAAACTGGTTAAGCCACTATGGAAGTCAGTCTGGAGGTCCCTCAGAAACCTGAATATAAGCCTACCATTCAACCCAGCCTTCCCACTCCTTGGAATTTACCCAAAGGAAATGAAATTGGCAAGCAAAAAAGTGGTCTGCACATTAATGTTTATTGCAGCTCAATTCAGACCTGGAATCAACCTAAATGCCCATCAACAGTACACTGGATAAAGAAATTATGGGACATGTACTCTATAGAATACTATACAGCAGTAAAAACAATGAAATCCAGTCATTTGCACCAAAATGGAGGAATCTGGAAAACATCATGCTGAGTGAAATAAGCCAGTTCCAAAGGGACAAATATCATATGTTCTCCCTGATCGGTGACAAATGACCGAGCACAAAAAAGGAAACCTGTTGAAGTGAAATGGACACTATGAGAAATGGTGACTTGATCAGCCCTTGTCCTGACTGTTGATGAACAACTTAATATTTTATCCCTTTTAATATTTTTTTTGTTCTACTTAATACTATTGGTTGAGCTCTGTAATTAACACACAATTATTCTTAGTTGTTTAAATTTAACTGAAAAGTGATCCCTGTTAAATATAAGAGTGGGAATAAGAGAGGGAAAAGATGTACAATCTGGGACATGCTCAATTGGACTTGCCCCAAATGGTGGAGTTAGAAATGTGCCAGGGGATTCCAATTCAATCCCATCAAGGTGGCATGTACCAATGCCATCTCACTAATCAACGTGATCAATTTCCGTTCACAATTGATCATAATGATAGGACTAAGAGTCAAAGGGATCACATAAACAAGACTAGTGTCTGCAAATACTAACTGATAGAATAAAAAAGGGAGAGAATGATCCATCATGGGAAGTGGGATACACAGCAGACTCATAGAATGGCAAATGTCCTAACAGCACTATGGCCTCAGAATCAGCCCTTAAGGCATTTGGATCTGGCTGAAAAGCCCATGAATGAGAGTATTTTAGGCATGGAAAGCCAAGACGCTCTGGAAAAAAAAAAAAATGACCTAAATGAAAGATCTCTGTGAGTGAGATCCCAGTGGAAAGAACAGGCCATCAAAGAAGGAGGTACCTTTCTCTGAAGGGAGGAGAGAACTTCCACTTTGACTATGACCTTGTCTAAATATGATCAGAGACGGCGAACTCAAAAGGCCTCCATAGCCTTGGCAACTCATGACAAAAGCCTAGGGTGATCACTGATGGCATAAACAAGAGTGCCAATTTGTTAAGTCAACAACAGGGGTCACTGTGCACTTACTCCTCATGTAGGATCTCTGTCCTTAATGTGTTGTTCAATGTGAATTAATGCTATAACTAGTACTCAAACAGTATTTTTGACTTTGTGTTTCTGTGTGGGTGCGAACTGATGAAAGCTTTACTTAATATATACTAAATTGATATTCTGTATATAAAGAGAATTGAAAATGAATCTTGATGCAAATGGAATGGGAGAGGGAGCAGGAGAGGGGAGGGTTGTGGGTGGGAGGGAAGTTATGGGGGGGAGCCATTGTAATCCAACAGCTGTACTTTGGAAATTTATATTCATTAAATAAAAGTTTATAAAAAAAAAAAAGAAAGCCAGAGCAGCCCTCAAATACACTGAAAGTCATTGCTAACAATTCATTTCACCTGACCTATGCCATACTGATAATAAAGCATTAAAGTCTCTACAGAAAATATTATGAAACTCTTGGAATCCAAGCAATTGGTGTTACTGGGCACATAAGATAATGCCATCTGGACTATCACATAATTGCTTTAGTCTAAGTTACAGACCGCATTTGAAAAAAAATTCACGAATGTTTTAATTTGGGCCAGTTTAGACAACTTTGAATCTTTGTTGGTTTCTATAAATATATTTACATCAAAGTAGGTAGGTAAGTAAGTAAGTAAATAGGAAGGTAAGTGGATACCTAGGTAGACACATGGGTGATAGCTGAGGATAGTAATAAGGAAACTAGGAGGTCGATATGTCAGTAAAAGTTTTGAATGGGCTGCACATACATTCGTTTCTAGTTTTTGTCTTAGTTAAGTCAACAAAATATAAAATAATTCAAAAGACACAACAATATTATTGTTAATTATTAAATTAATTGAGTTTATCTCTACTTTGAGTCACTTATACAACTATGTAATTTGTAGAAAACTAATAATAATGCAACAGATTATTCTCCATAGATGTAAAAATTACATCCAAAGATGATGTCAGTTACTTCCTTCTGAGTGTGTATTCTTAACAGAATATTTACATATCCATAGAAGTGCATTTATACATATAACTTTTTAGGTTTTCTTTTATGTTGTAACATTTTATTGATTCCTGTTTAATGACACAGATATTATTATTGACATGAAGTCATTGACATGAGTCATAATTTTACCTCTCAGTTCATCTGTCTCTATAGATATAGCTATATATATAGACAGACTTATGCATGTTAATTTTCTAAACAGCCTCCAGTGTTGCTTTAGTCATCTACTATTTGGTACAATCTTGGTAACATCATGATAACAGGGCCCTGTCCTTGGGCACATGACCCAAGTTCATCCAGCCAGTTTTCCTTTGAAATATGACTGTTTAGGGGAGTGACAACCTCTTGAGACTGAAAACAGAAGTCATCACGTTGACAAGAAAATCCTAAAGAAGTTGTCCAGGGCTTCCTGTTACCTGGATCTCTTGGATTCCTTTCAATTTCTATCATCTCTCAAACTGATTTTCTCGGTTTCTACTTTAACTACATCTTTAAAAAGTTATCCATAATCAGTTTCTGATTCTTTCCAATAAAGATTCCTAACTTTGATGTTGTAACAGGACTACAGTCAGTGATACTGCACTGCCAGTGTGCATTTATTTGCATGGTTAATTTATCATTTTTGTCTTCCATTCACAAACACCTGAGAAGCAGCATTTTAAACTGTTCAGAATGCAAAATGTGAGAAAACAGTATAATATCAATTGTGAGAAAACACAAGCTGAGACTGGCATATTCATTCTCCATGATAGGAATATAAAGTTATGTGTTATAGGCAACAATTTAGTAATCATTAACAAAACAGGTATGAATCTGCCCTATGACTCAGAACTCTCCCCCCACCAATGTATTCCAGAGGCATTTTCACACAGGGCCAAAAAGGATCTGTACAACATTATGTTATTTTGATGTTGTTTCCATTGTTGGAAGCTACAGTTTAGATGGCTATTACCAAGAGAATGCAGAAATAAAATTTTGTGTGTGAAGAATACCAGAAAGCAAATAGAGTCTACAAGCCAAATATATAAATGGCAACATGATTCGATCTTAAAATATTCTTAATACGGAGCCAACATTGTGACATAGTGTGTAAAGGTGGCACTTGCAACTCCGGCATCCCGCATGGGATCTGGTTCATGTCCTGGCTGCTCCACTTCAGATCTAGCTCGCTGCTAATGGCCTGGGAAAAACAGCAAATATGTCCCAAGTATATGTGCCTCTGCCACTTAAGTGGGAGACCCGAAGAAGCTCCTACCTCCTGACTTTGCATGGGCCTGCTCCTGCTGTTGCAGCCATTTGGGGAGTGAAACAGCAGATGGAAGATCTTGCTCTGTGTCTCTCCTTCTCTCTATGTAACTCTTTCAAGTAAGTCAGTAAATCTTTAAAAATTGTTTATTTTTATTAACTGTTTTAGACAATATGATTACATCAATTAAAACATAATTATGGCCGACGCCGCGGCTCACTAGGCTAATCCTCCACCTTGCAGCGCCGGCACACCAGGTTCTAGTCCCAGTCAGGGCGCCGGATTCTATCCCGATCACCCCTCTTCCAGGCCAGCTCTCTGCTGTGGCCAGGGAGTGCAGTGGAGGATGGCCCAAGTGCTTGGGCCCTGCACCCCATGGGAGACCAGGAGAAGTACCTGGCTCCTGCCATCGGATCAGCGCGGTGCGCCGGCCGCAGCGCGCCAGCCGTGGCGGCCATTGGAGGGTGAACTAACGGCAAAGGAAGACCTTTCTGTCTCTCTCTCTCACTGTCCACTCTGCCTGTCAAAAAATAAAAATAAAAAATAAAAAAAACATAATTATACACAATACAGCATATGTATTTTATTAAGATACATATACATTTCAGTTGTCTGTGGGATAGAGGAGATCCAGGAGAAGTGAATGGTTTAGGAATGTTGATGCAAAATAAAATACAAGAAGGGCAGAAGGGCATTGTACAGAACAGTGATGATTATGTGCTTTGAAGTGAGAAGAATGAGTCCTTGCACTCAAAGGTCACAGATAAAGGGCAAAACAGGAAAGCCAAAAAAAAAAAAAAAAAAAAAAAAAAAAAGGAAGAAAAGTTTTTCAGGACCTGATTTGTATAATTATCAGATTAATACTATAAATAAATTAGTCATTATTAGATCATTAACTAATGAATGTTAGTTAATATTAGTTGTTCCTTATAAATACTTGAAATACTCATTAGCTAACAAGAGTTGGACTTTCTATACTGAAATCTACATGTCTGAAATTCCCTCTTCTCATAAGCAATTAGCTGAATTCTTGACCACATCAAGTTCTGAGAAAGAAAAAATATTTTTAGGTAATGTGAATAAAAGACACAATTTACCATTAAGGTTTTTATTTTAAGCTTTGAGTCTTGTACTGAAATAACTTTGTGTGTAAAAAAAGATATAGTTAAAAAGAAAAAAAAGTTCTGCATTGTATGCTGCAGCCTTAACTTACCATTGACTTCCCAAAGTCTTCCCCCAAAAAGACCTTCAGAGAGTCTGGGTTCACTCACTGCAATTTCCATTTGTCTTTAAAAGTCCATTTTTTAAATGCCTGCTTGAATGACTCACTTTCCTTTACCATTACTCAGTGACCGATGCTTTTCATTTACTCTCAGCCTCAACACATGATGGTGTTTGGACAAAGTTCCCTCTTTTCCTCCAGTCCCCTGGCATTTGTCAGGTGCTCAGGTCACTCACAATACAACTTTCTCTGGATGGCATTTGGTACACTGGTACGGATGCCTTTCCAGCACCCTATACTGGAATTCCTCAGAGATCCTTCCTCCACTTCCAGTTCCAGTGTCTTCTAGTGGACAGCCTTGCATGCAGCAAGGTTTGAATACGTGGGTCCCTGTTACCCGTATGAGAAAGCCAGGTCAAATTCCTGGTGCCCGAGTTTCAATAGGCCTAGCCCCAAACTGTTGTGAGCAGTTGGAGAGTGAACCAGTGGATGGAAGAGATTCTCTCTCTCTCTCTGCTTTTCATATAAATATTAATTTTGCAAAGTTAAACATACAGTTTCCTCATAGAGGAGCCTCTTCACAGTCGTGTTGAGTCGTCTTGGCAAGGCATGTCAGAGCAGCTTCAGAGCGCTGAAATGTCTGTTTTTGCTGTAATTTTTGTAAAGGAGAAGACACTTTCACTTAAGTCCTTAATGTTCTTGATTAAGATGTCTACCATATGTCTTACAAACCCAATCCCCAGTTTTATTGTTGTCATGATGTTTCTAAAAAATAAGATTCCTTTGTGAATGAAGTTCAGGTAATGAAAAATAGCCCAAGGTGGAAATATAAATGATTTGGACAAGAGAGCAATATGTTCACAGTATTAAAGCTAGCAGTAAACCTGAAAAAATATTAAATGTCTTTCTACATCAAAGTATTTCTACAGAAATGAAATGAACTTATAACTAGTTTAGTAAGATGTGGGTACCCTAAAAATTCTTGGATTATGAGTTCATTTACAATGTTATGTAAGCCTAAGAATATGTGTTGATAATTAATAGAAATAGTTAATTAAATTAAGATCAAAACTCTAATCAACATTGTCATTCACTTTTAACTACACAATGATTGATAGAAGAGTAGCATTTAGAGAACAGCTTACAAGTAAAATATCTCACTCTTTACTATTATGATGAGAGTGAGCAAGAGTAAAATGTGCAAAAAAAAAAAGCTATCTTTCGTCCATGCTACAAATCCCAATCTTGGCTATTGCTGTGTGGTTAGTTAGCAGTAAGAGCTTGGAGAGAAAACAATCATTTTCATTATCAACACAGAGAATGTAGTCAGAACTTCCACGTATCAAGGCATCACAAAAACATCTTCTGAAAGGGTAGCACTGCCCCACAGAGCATTCTGTCAGGTAAGATTTTTTTATGTCTGTTATCGTCCATCGTATACACTATACTCTGACTATTGGCACATGAAATATAGCTAGGGTAGCCAAAGAATGGAACTTTTATGTTTACTTAATATTTTGTTAATTAAAATTTATATGGCCACTTATGCCATCTGCTTACTTTATTCAGCATGCATGTCTTAAAATAATGTAGTGTCTTTCAAAGAGGAGGCTACAGTGAAATAATCTATGAGAAGAGATAAGTGCTGACCCTAGGGCTTGGACTTACAAGTGGACATAGCCCTGGGGATTTTCTTTATCAGTACTCACACAGGCCTCCTTAAGTAACATCTGCCTTTATCAACACATAAAAATTCTACTTGCTCTTGGATTAAGCAGATTATTGTGGCCCAAACTCTCAGTCCACTAATATCAACAGGATCCATTTCATTCTTGCTCACATGATAAAACATGATAAGGAATACAAATTCCCCTGCCCCCGGAAACTTCCCCTCATCTCATCCAATTCATGTTTGAAAAAAATAGAGTGAAGAACCCACAAATCCTTACTGTGGAGTGTCACTATCCTAGAAAGGTAAGTCAAAGCTCCAGAAACTAAGTACCAGGAGGAAGAAATGGAACTAAGTGAACTAGGAAAACACCAACACACCCTCACCTGTGTTCTTGGTCCCTTGGGGTACTGCACACTACTCTTTCGACTCCCCACAATTTCATTCACACATTGTACCCTTTTCTTCACACTTGTCCTATTTTTTTTTTATATCTTTCCTTATTAAGTGCAGAATCCTTGTCATTTGGCTGTATTTTCTCTCTAAACAACCCAGCCTTATCGTTCCAAGATACTGCCTATGCTGTAAGGCATTGGCTGTGGTTTTGCCTTTAACTCCCTAAACATACCACAGCCTAATTACAGACATGTTGCATGTGACACTCTATCTTAATCAGATAATCAAAAGGGACTCATTACTCAGATATTGAGGGAAAGCGGCGCATTATGGGAGTGATAGTCTAAGCCAATATCTCCACAGAATGAACAGGGTATTTTAGGGGAAAGTATTCTAGAGAGAGGCCTGCTGCTCCTAGACTAGATGAGGAAGAACAGCAGTCCCTTGATGAGGCATCCAAAATGAAGATAAACTGTGTCTGAAATGAAAAGCAGTGGCTTTGCAGAAATTGATTTTCACATAACATCCAAGAAACACTTTCTCTTTGAAAAGAAAGGTTCACCTGCACTGTGTTTGCAGGCCAACACCATTACAGCTTTATTTAGATGTGTGTGAAGGAGCCATCTGTTCCAGCTCACAGGAGGGCCGGGACCCGCATCGCAGGCGTCCCCCCTCAAGGTCCAATCGCGGCATCTGACGCAAAAGTTTCCTGATGTGATGCTTGACTGAAAGCTAATGGCAGGGAACGCTTCATTTTTCAAGGTGTGCTTTTTCTCAGGAGCAAGTGTACTCGTTGGTGATTGCTTTTCTCCTCTCTGCAGCCCATGGAAACAGCATGACGAGCAGAGGATCTGGGGAATGAGGACAATTCTCCCTCTATCCACTCCTGCATTTATTCCTTCATCCACTCAATAAATACATGTTGATGCCTGCTGGGAGTCAGATGGTTTGGGGGCACCACAGTTATAACTGTGAACAATGCAGATGGGATTCTCAAGGTGTGTACGTGTAAGAGGAGCAGACAATAATCAAATATACACAAGCAATTTAGAAGATACACTATCAGGTAGTAAGCTGTGCTATGCAAAATAAATTATGTTGATGGAATGAAGAGAGCAGGGGTGGTCTATTTTTAATCATATGGTCATGAGCAAAGCTCTCATCAACCTGAGAATTTGTGATAGTTATTATTATGGTGTCAAATTGGATGGTTTAAAGATGCCTAGAAACCTAGAAAAGTATTATTTTGCGAACATCTAGGAGGTTATTTCCAAATTAGATTAGCTCATCAGCCTGAGTGAATGAGGTGGGCAGACCTAGCTTTCACACAGACAGGCATTATCAATGACCCGGGGATCTGGAGAGACTAAATGGGAAGGTGTTTGGGCTTTCACCGAGATGGAGATAGAGCTATGACAGACTCGACTCCTGTCTTGGATGACAGTTGCTGGCTTTTGGACTTCAGGACTACACCTGATATCCCCTTGCTGTCACTCATGCTTTTCATCCTCAAACTGAGACACACATCCTTGGCTTAGCTAATCCTGAGGCCCTTGCACGTGGACTGAGACACACTACTAGCATCCTAGGCATTCCAGGTTGCAGATGACCTGTTGCGGGACCTCTCAACTGCCATAATGCCCATGATAAACTCTGTTTCCTATACTTACGTGCAAATCTTAGCAATTTTGTATCTCCAGACAACCCTACTAATTTAGGCTCTAATGTCAAGGCGTCAGCCTTGCAAAGTTCTGAATGAAGCCACATTCAGGCCAAGGTAAAAACCACAGCCACCTTCCTAGAATCAGAAGGATTGTGTGTGTTTGGGCTTCGGAGAGAAGGCACATGAGGCTCAAACATAGGGAGATAAATGTGTGGTATGGGTAGAGTACTAGATGAAGGGAAGACAACATAGGGCCATAAACATCAATATAAAAAATGTCAATGTTTTCAATATAGAGTGAATTTGGGTCTGTGTTGACATTTGTTTTAAATAGTACCAAACATGGGGCCGGTCCATGGCATAGCTGATAAAGCTGCCACCTGCAGTGCCGGCATCCCACATGGGCGCCAGTTTGAGTCCCGGCAGCTCCACTTCTGATCCAGCTCTCTGCTAAGGCCTGAGAAAGTATTAGAAGATGGCTCAAGTCCTTGGGCCCTCATACCCATGTGGGAAACCTGGAGGAAGCTCCAGGCTCCTGGCTTCAGATCGGCACAGCTCTGGCCATTGCTGCCAATTGGGGAGTGAACCAGCAGATGGAAGATTCTCTCTCTCGCTCGCTCTCTCACTCTCTCTCTGTCTCTTCTTCTCTCTGTGTGTAACTCTGACTTATAAATAAATAAATAAATCTTTAAAAATAAATAAATAAAGAGTACCAAACACTCTTAGGGATTCTTGAAAGATGTCTGGTTGGTACACCTGTTATATAATTTCCCCCCTCTCTATAAGTGAGGACTCAGTATCAGGCTTCTAACTCTCTGAAGAAGAGAGCAATAATAAAATAAAATTGGAGGATCCACTATTTGTTTCTGCACACATTTCTTAATTTCTTCCCCAATTCTGTGTTTTTCTCAGGGATATCATTGCCTCTTGTGCATTGTTAATACTGGTTGCTGCCTGGATGCCTCCCTAGTGTATGGTTCAGAAAGCTTCAATGAACAGTGAGAGTGTTCTGTGTTCCCCACCTTAGCTCAGGGTTTGGATCTTTGTAAGTCCTCTGCAGTATGGCCACTCACCATGCATCTAGTTTCACTGCCCATAATGTTCATGTCAGAGATCAACCTCCAGGAAATGCAGAGAGCTTGAAACTCCATTTGCTACTTGGTCTACTTGGTCTGTCTTCCTTCCCCTGTTGGCTTCTATAGAGGCACTTACCACAGATATCATGGCCTTTTTCACCTTGTTCTCTTCATCTTCCCCAAATCCTGGTATGGTTAATGGACTCTTAGCGGTCCCTCAGATCTCAGTGTTACCTGCATCCTACATGTAACAGTAGTTCATGGTAGACATCTGTGTATGTGTGTATCTGTGTCCTGACAGAAGATAAGCTCTTTAAGGGAAAATGCAATTTACTTCACTTCTACTTGTCTGTCTATAGTATTATTCTTGGCACAAATGATCCATGTGGTAAGTATCAGCTGAATAAAACTGGGCATGATAGGAGCAGGAATTATGGTGCAGTGAGTTAAGCCACCATTTGGGATGTCAGCATCCCATGTTGGAGTGCTTGAAATTAAGTCCTACCTCAGCATCTGGTCCAGCTCCCTGCTAATGTGCACCCTGGGAGGCAGCAGATGATACCTTAAGTGTTTGAGTCCCTGACACCTACATGGGAGACCTGGATGGAGTTCGTGGCTCCTGGTTTCAGCTTAACCCAGGCCCCAGCTATTGGCCAATGTTAGGAAAGAGAACCAACAGCTGGCATCTTTCTCTCTCCTCCCTTCCCTCTTTCTCTCTCTCTCTCTTCAAAAATTAAAAATATAAAAACTTCTTAAGAAAATAGGATGGTTAAGTTGAGAATAACTTACATTTCATATTCAGGGCAAACATGAGAGTGCAAGCCGCAGAACTCCAGTTTCAGGGA